GGAGAGGGAACTTCAGGAAGGCATGAAACAACATTATTTGTTGAAGATGAATCCATTTACTGACAGGAAAATATCATTACAATTAAAGGAATATTATAGCAAAACTGAAACATTTTCATGAACTGCAAAGATAAACCAAGAATGAGTGAAAAAAAAAAAAAAGAGGTAAATAAATCTTAAAATAGCGCAAGTGAAATAAGTTGAATACTCATATATTATATCCCATGTACCTGCACTTTGTACCCCATTATCAGTATCAGCACCCTGTACCTTCAGTTTGCAAGAGCAAAGTCTTCAGCAACAGAGACCTGTCCCTCCTCTTGCAGCTGCAGCTGAGGGTCTGGGCCCTTGGTCCCTGCTCCAGGATTTTGCCTCATGTAGTTACTGGGCCAGAAAGAAGATGGCAGGAATAATTATCCAAAGGTCCCCTAAAGCAGGAGTGCTACTTTGGGAAGCTGGGATGCAGGAGACAGCAGAGGCACGGGTTCCAACATGCTGCACCTGGCGCCTTGGAGCCCCCTGAGCTCTGCCAGCAGCATCCCCAGCCAAAGGAGCAGGGTGCCTCTGGGCACTGCAGCTGTCCCACGTGAGTAAAGAGGGAAACAGAAGGGAAGTCCATGCTGTGTGAAGCTGGGGTAGCTGCAGGCATCGAACCAAGTCAATGGCATGAAAACAGAGGGTGTCATAAAATCTGAAATACCCATACTGTCAGATAAGGTGTGGATAAAAAAGAGGGTTAAATATTTGAATTAGTTTTTATATGCTAAGCCTTTTGGGAAGGAACAGTCACTCTGCATCCTGCAACAAAATCAACATGCAGCAGCCATCGCCAAAGAGGAAAAAGGAAAGTTTCTGTAAAGACAGATTCAGCTTTGTACAGATGAGGTGGTGCACTCCAGGCTGTCTGATTGCAGTTGCATGTGCTGGACAGTAACCACAGGAATAAATACATGAGAAAGAGCTGCCGAGGAGAAAGGACAGTGGGACTGGGAGCAGGTTCTTCTCCAGCCAAATGCTGGAAATGGGAGTGATGCTGGGGGTGGGCCTCCACCAGCCGAACCACACATTTATGCACATCTTCTGTGTTAGGAAGTGGGTCTTTCACCTGCCACCTGTGGACATGCTGTCTCCTAAAATCCTAGAAAACGAAGTATCACTCGTTTACTCACTTTGTTCTCAATTAATCCGCCTGGTTCTTTCCCAAGGTTTTAAATTTTAAATATGGCTTGCAAATCTTTTATTATCTATTCTTAAGTACATATTGCTGCCTGAATAATCACTTGGAAACATGAATTAACTGCAAGAATACAAAAGGCAGAAAAAGCGTTTCATAATTTTATTGGAGCAGTTTCAAAGTGAGGTTGCTAGGTACAGTGCCAGCAACTCTGTGGCTGCAGTTCTGCTGCCACTAAAAATAGTTGTAACTTTAAAAGCCATGCCTAACAGTAAATGTACATGCGAAAGTACACCTCGTGCTTTATTAAAAAACAAAATCCTTTTATTCATTAAAAGTATAGACAAATAAGGGGATTTTTTTTACTACTATATAATTAAAGCAGTTACATAACCTGAGCTTAAATACCAAGTAACACTGTATCTGCAGGTATTGCAATAAAATTTCACTAGTATTTGCACAAAAATTGAACTCATTCAACAATATTAAAATCACAGTACAATAGAAAAATAAACATTTTCACCTGTATCCTTGAAACACATTGTAACTCACGGCCACAAAATAAGTAGTAGTTTTAATTCACAAGTCGTGTATCTTGAAAATATTTGCTATTATTGTGCCAATAGTGTTAGGCTGCAGAAATACTGCTCTGTAGTAGGTTCTGATTCAGTGCAAAGCCCCTGAAGTTAGAAATAATACCACAAATGTAAGGAGAGTGAAACAGTCCTATTCAAGCAGCTACAGTGTGGGCTTTTTTTTTAAGTTAAGGGCTTTTAGTGTCTGTCTAAACCAACTTCCACCAAATTCAGCACTTCCCCTTGCAGCTTTACTGGCCCGAGTGCTTGCGCTATCCCCAGTTGCTTAAGCTGGCTGCTCAGGAGCTTGGAATACATTCTTCATATTCAACTTCAGCTTCAGGCTTATAGCTGCCTTCAAAAATTTTACCTGAGGGGAAGACTAACCACTGCAGGTAACAAATATGAATGTATAGACTTGAAAAATAATGAGTTTATCACAAAAATAAGCAATACCTGTGCTAAGACATCACTCTTTATTAATATTTTTGTTCTGGACCAATCTGAAGAAAAAAAAAACTAGTGACAAAGGGAAAAAAGAAAGAATCCCCGAAAGGCAATTATCAGGGCTTTTTTGCCTCCAGGCACCTTCATGGCCAGTGTGTTTAACTGCTACAGACCTGACTCTCCATGTGAGACAATCTGTGGGTTGCAGCAGGGAACAGCAGACCCTTCAGCCCCTTTCCATAGTGACTTCTGCCCAGGTCTTTGCAGGACACATGCTCAGTGGCCTCCAGACAGACTGAGCTGGGCAGCCAGAGCAACCATAGTGGTAGTGCCCGTTCCCCAGGACTCCTGCCACTCGGCCGGGTGCCCAGAGCTCTGTGTGTGTCCGTCCTCCTTGTCTTTCCTCATCAAGGAAGAGGAGGATGCCAGGCTCAGGAGAACTTGGCATGGCCCTGGGGCTTTAGTCTATGGGCCCACACTACAGGAACAAACCTTCAGCTTCTGTCCTGTGTGAATAGGAAGGCAACAGGATGCTCTGCAGCATTCACTTGTGGTCTGTCAGCCACAACAGCCTTGCAGCTTCTCACAGCCACCATCCACAGGGAGTGGGGGAACTCAGGTTGGGACGCAGCTTGCCAGGGCATCTACTGCAACCTCCTGCTGAAAGCAGGGCCAGGCAAAATACTTCTGATTCCCTGTACCTGCTCCTTAATTCATTAACTTGGCGTCATATAAGATGGATTAAAGTACAAAATCCATGGTGCTGTGTTATGAAAATGAACAACTGACAGCAGTTCGTGTGCAGGTTTCATACTTATTTTGAGTTAAAAATTACCATATGCAAGAGTTAATGGGCATAAATGAGAAAAAAATTAACCCTATGAGCTGGAAAAAGCAAAACAGAGCTAATGAATAATGATTTGTTTTGGCTGGATCATTGTAAAATGCTTTGGCAAAACCTAAGCTCTAAATAACTATTTACTTCAAACATTTTGGTGTGTTCAGTGAAGGATTTGTAGCTATTAAAAGATTCCCAAATCTACCCAGAGAAAAAATAGGTTAAAAGCAGAACCACGAAACCATCAAAGGTTTAATCTTGTTTGCTAGTTGAAAGCTAATACAACACAAGCAAAGGTGGAACTTCAGGTGGTCTTCCTGTAGTGAAACAATGAGCTGAATCTCATTACAAGGAAACAAAACACCCTTGTCATTGCTGATTATTAACTAACAGCCCAAAGGCTGTAGCTGAGATTGCGTTCCCTTTGCATACTGGATACACCAAAAGGAAACTCCAGGCAAGTGGCTTAGGAAAGGCTTCTCTGACTACGCCCATTACAGAGGATTACAGATAAACACAGGAATCACCTTGGGCCTTTAAGGTTGGTGGGCTGACTGTCTCCCACAAATATATAGTAAGGGTAAGTGCCAAAAGGCAAATATTTAACAACAGCCTTGCAAGTTCCCCAGGAGGTAATCCTCCTGCCATCTCCAGCCATCACACTTCCTGGAGAGGAGCTGCTTGGGTTCATCCAGGTCATGTCCAACAGACACCATTCTGTCATGTTGCAGGTAAAAAGCAATTACATGAAGGAGGTACAAATTTGATGTGACTTTGCAGTGGTTCTAACTACTCCATGTCTAATACAGCAATGCTCAAAAAAAGAGCAGGAGCTTTACATGAGATTTTGAGGCTCAGCTTCAAGTTCCACCTTGATTCAGAGGAGGCTGTGACATCTCAGTATATGTACAGCAAAGAGTTGCATCGGAGCAGGATACAGTTTGAGGTGTTGGCTCTGCAGGTCATGGGATCCAAAAGATGGAAAACAAACCGTGTAAAATGTGCTTAATGATCCTTCTCAGTGTTTGGCGGAAGGCTCCCATACGCTTCCATGAGGTGAAGATGCTGACTGAAGCTGCCTGATCACCAGTCAGAGTGATCTTCATTAAATGAAGTGCCAGACCTCAGCAATCAACTGGCCAACACAACAGTCCTCTTCAGTGGGGCGAAGCAAAACACAGAGCTTTTAACAGGTTCATGAGGAAAGGAGCAAAACACTGCAGGTGTCCAAGACCCGGAAGACAGCAGGAAAGACAACAAGGGCAGTGCTGTCTAGAAGGTGGGTCACCCCGGCAGCATCCATCCAGCCGTGGGTCTCTCCTGCATCACACAGGTGTTCCTGTAGAGCACTGTTGGATTTCATACACACTGTAATAGTGAGCCAACTTTGATATATTAGAAAGACATATTGCAAAACAACTGTAAGTAACTCCATAAGGACCAACCTGGGCGTGCGGCTTCACATTCTGCTGTGGCTGTTCAAGATCTTTTTTCAGACATGTATTAGTGGAACATTTTATTTCTTAAGTGAAAGAAAAATGAGGAACAGACCACGAAATGCCAGGAAATTAAGATGATTTTAAACCTACAGAGGCAGATTCAGAGAATACCCTATTTTTATGCTCGCTCTCCATTTAATTCATCTGCCATTCCAAACAAGACATGCCTCAGTTGAATGAAGTCTCAAATAATCACATAATAGGAGAAGTCATTTATTGTGAATCAGGCTCATTCTCCGGTGATATAAATAGGCTGTGCTGTTCCAGAGTCTTTTGTCAGTAGGGATTAATTAGCAATTGACCCTTGGCTGGAATGTCTTCACTACCTCTACATTTTTCATCTTATGGGGCTAAATGAGAGCTTAACACTGCTTTAAGAAGCTATGCTTCCTAAGCAGTTTAATTTATCTCTAGGCTATAAATCAGTAGTTTAATTTATCACTAGGTTACATATCAACAGTGAATAGTCAGGGTGGAATTGAGTTTATTATAAAGATGTTCTGTTAGAAGACACAGTTTTACAGTGATTGAACCATGCTGTTAAATTTGCCATTAATGCCCAATTCTGCATATGGACACTGAGAACCACACTTTACATACTTTACATTCAGCTTTCTAATAAATAAGTTCAATAAATAGGGAGTTTGAAGATTAAAAAGCTGTACATGTGAACAGAAGCTGCTTTACAATGTTGTCAAGAAAACAACTAGAGTTATTCTTGTTTGTTACCAATCACTGGAAATTTGTAAGTAAAATGTAAATATTTTACTCTTACTATGAAGACCGGAGAAACAGAGATCTGTTAAAATCACTCTTAGGATTACACAGAACTTAAATTTCGTACACTAAATTTATAATTCAGAGCATGCTGCACACGATATTTTCAAATACATTTCTTAGAAATATGAGAAACGAGTAAAATTGCCCATGTAAGATTTCGACGTCTGTGCTCCGATCACCAGCTCTTGTGTTACACAATATTGCAGTTTGGCTAATTTTGGATGACCTATTCCACATTTGGAGAAGATATACAATGAAGGGCCAGACTTAAGTCTGCAGTCCATTGCAACATCTTGTTAATACAGTGATTTATTTGTCACAGTACAAAAAAACTAATTCACAACTATTTTATATATATATAATATAATCCATTTATATTACCCATTTTAATAAACATTTTCTTGGGAAACGACTCTTACATTATCTCTAAAGATTGCCAGGAACAGAAATACTCTTGTACCAAATGAAAACGCAGGTAACTCAAGCGACTGTAGTTTTACTGCTCCGAAGGTACAGTTATTTTCAGCACACACATTTCTCACATTTTACCCGTAAAGACCTCCAGCAAGGCTCCCAACACCAGCAGTCAGGCACTCGTGCTGCAGCGAGCTCTTGGTCAGCCTGTGGGAAGGGCAGTTCGCCCCAGCTCCGCAGATCTCGCCAGGCACTCCCCAGGTGAGCCCAGTCCATGCTCAGCCCTGTCCTGTGGCTCCCCTGCTGACAATGCGCCGGTTTTCCTCAGCATGGAAGGCAGGATCGGACTATCAGCTGCTCAGAACCAAATCACCTCCCCACGCATTTGCACACTGACATCTGTTCATGAAACACACCGCTATGCGCACGTGCGAAGCAGGTGCCTGCCTGCACTGGCTCCTAGTGAGACCTGCTTATCTGTCTGCCAGTGGCCAAGGTGTCAGTTCACCTGGAAGCCAATTTGCCTTTAAGGGTGGTCCAGATTTTTCATGAACAACCATCACAATCTGAAAGCATAATCATGCACACATCAGTAAGCCTACTTTTTGTAAAACACTGGCACTCAAAGGAGACTGAATCATAAATGCCACCAAACTACCAAATAATTACCAACACTGGATGAAGATATAATAAAACTATAAAGGTGAGATAACTGCATTGTGACTTTGATTTAAATACTTGTTTACAATGGCAAGTGAGAGGAAGGGTAGGCATGTGGAGTGAGCCTCAGAAGAGGAGATACTGCTCGTTCTTACTTTTATTTCCCATTTCTAAAGAGAGGCTGATTGAGAACATTTTTTAAATGTGGGACACTAAGTCATTACACCAGAAGCACTTGGATTGCTTTCTTCCTGTAGGGGATTTACTTCATTTTACTTTATCTGACACAAGTCAAAAAGAAATGAGAATATCGTGAGGGAAAAGTAGAAATTTGGCAGGTTATTTTCCACTGAAATTCCTCCACTGATTTTGTTAAGCTTTTTCTAAGACCAGCTAATGAGGCTTTACCTAAAACAACTTTGAGAGACTGGTAAGATTCTCCTCACACATTTCTAGTGCTACGGTGTCTCAAAGCGGAGGATTTTTTCAAACTGTTCCCAGATCTTTCACATTTGTTCACAAACTGGTATCTCCATTCTGTTTATACTCTGATAAAATATTGAGAGTCATTTCCTCACTCTTCGACTGCACATTGTGCTCACTTCTTCTGGATGATTTCCTGGTTGCCCTGGAAAGCCGCCTTCGAAAGGTATCGCCTGCCAGAAAGTAAAGAATAGGGTCGACGCAGCTGTTGAGGCTGGCCAGACCCCTCGTCACCTGGTAGGTGGCATAAACCTTGTCGTTGAAGGCACACATTTGTGGTGTTTGAAAATCCACCCTGGCTCTTAGATTTAAGGTCTTCATCACATGGAAAGGAAGGTAAGACACGGCAAAGACTGTCAACACAATAATAACCAGGTAAATCGACTTTCTCCTGAGAGGAGAATTGTCCAGATCTTTGTAAATCAGAGCTTTCACAATGAGCCCATAGCAACCAAGAATCAGTATGAATGGGATGCAGAACATAAACACTGTGGTGCACATGCTGTAAATGAAGTAACTTCTCAGGAAATCATCAGCTGTTGTGTCGTAGCATGTCGTGGTTTTATTTTTCCTTATCCCCGTTCCCGAGTAGAATAGTATTGGAGAAATCACAGCCACCACAATGACCCAGACCAGGGCGCTGATGTACACTGCATTCTTCTTCTTCAGCCTCCCTAGCGACTTCAAGGGGTGCACCACTCCCGTGTACCTGTGCACACTTATGCAAGTCAGAAACAAAATGCTGCCATACAGGTTCACGTGGAAGATGAACCTCTGCAGCTTGCACATAATATCTCCGAAGATCCAGTCTGTTTTATTGAAGTAGTAAAAGATGAGCGCAGGCAGAGTCAAGACATATAAGAAATCGGCTAGTGCCAAGTTGAACATGTAAACTGATATGCCGCTCCAAGGCCTCATGTGGAAGACAAACATCCAGATGGCCACGCTGTTGCCCAAAAAACCAGTGATGAAGACCAGAATGTAGACAGTGGGCAGGTAATAGAACTGGAAGCCGGTTTTGGTCAGGGAACACTTGGTGGTGGCATTTCCTGCAGACCAGCCACTGCTGGATAACAGGTTGGGTTCAGTTCCATTCAAAGCAGCAGAGAAGAGGACTTCTGTCATGATCCTTTCGCCTGAGTCACATAGGTCTGAGGTGAAGGAACAAAATCTCTACAGGAACAGAAACGCAGCTGAAAGAGAAAAAAGCAAAGAAAGCCTAACTGGAAGGCAAAACCTGCCCTGCTTTTCCAGGAGGCTGCGCTCGGCTGAGCCTGCCCACCCCGCGCAGGCCGATCTGCGTGGGGCGCGGACCGCTCCCCCCGCAATACCGGGACCCGCCGCACGCCGGGAGCACGGGGACAGCTCGGCGGGTCGCTGCCTTGCGCCAGCCAGTCTCTCTCGCGGCCCCGCACCGCACCGGGGCAGGCGGGGCGGGAGCTACATGACAGCGTGCTGCCTCGGCCACGGGACGCTCCGGCGGGAGCGGGGAAAAGCAAAGGGCGAGCGCCGCGACGGAGCAGCGGTAGCGGGGCGGGCCGGGGACAGCCGATCCGCCCGCGCTCCTGAGGTGAGCACCGCCACCCCGCCCGCCTCCGCGGCGGCCGACCCCGTCCCTCAGCCCGCCGCCGCCCGCCTGCCGCCGCTCCGCCCGCTCCCCTCGGCGCGCCCGGCTCCCCCAGGTCACCTCAGCCGGCCTGGCCCCGCTGCCCTCGCTTTCGCCCGGCTTCCCCCAGGTCACTTCAGCCCGCCCGGCCCCGCTCCCCGCTGCCGCGCCCTAGCCCGGCTCCGAGGGGCGCTGGGGCCGCCCGCACCTGCCTCCCATGGCGCCCTCCTCAGCCCGCGCTGGCCTCTCCTCGCCGCCGGCAGCGTCCGCCCGGCGGGGGGCGGTGTCCCGCCCGCAGCTGCCTTGGCCGAGCCGGCTCCCATCGCCGGGCAGGGCAGGGCAGGGCAGCGCAGTACGGCCGGGGGCAGCGGCTCTACGGCGCCTCGGGCGCGGGGCACCCCTCCATAGCGTCGTCGTCGCCGTCGCCGTCGCCGTCGCCGTCGCCGCCGCCGTCGCCGTCGCCGTCGCCGCCGCCGCGAGGAGCACGATCGCAGCCCCTCTGCTGCGGGAGGCAGCGCACCCGCCCCGGTCGGATTGCGGGCGGGCGGGACGAGGCGCCGGCTCGGCCCAGGGGCGCACCGCCCGCCCCCCGCACCGCCCTCGCAGGCGGGCGGTGCTCGCCGCTCCCCGCCCGCGGCACATGGCCGCGGGGCCGGGGGCTGCCGGTGGAGCGCAGGGCGGGGCCGGGGCCACCCGCTCGGGCCGTACCCGGGACGCGCGGTTTGGAGGGACACGGGCGCCGACGGAGCTGGGGTGCGGAGGCGGTGGCGCAGCACGCGGGCGGGCCCGCGCGGCGGGCGTGGTGCCGCCGGCGAGGCCAGGGACAGGCGGCCCGGCCGGCGCGGTGCCCGCCCAGCCCCGGCCTCCCCAGCCCCTGCGGCAGGTGCCTTCCGGCCCTCCGCGTGATGGAGGTGCGGACACCGCGCCCCTCACCTTCGGTGGAGGCTGCCGGCAGCGCGGCGCAGGCGGGTGCCAGGTGTGCTGCTCCTGAGCTGCTGGGAGCGGCTGAACACCATTCCCTGATACTGCTTTCACTCAACGCTTTGAAATCTGTTCTGCAACCCAGTTTAAGCTACACGAACATGTTAATTGCTGTGAATGGAACAGCTGAGCAGAAATATGCTCTACTGACCTCTAATTAAGCTCTATACATTTGGCACTTGAGTCAGAATACGATTATTATTTATTGTCGTAGCAAAACACAATCTGCTGGTTTCAGCCATTTCTTCCTTGTTCACATTTTAGTTGTGTGGTGAGTGATACATGAGCTAGTCATATCTGCTTTCAGCTAAAAGCTGTGTTCTAGACTGAGGATTATTAGTACTTCATGAATATGTATTCATTTTTCAAACTTTTGAGTCTCTCTAAATTACAAAACTACTTTGCTGGGAAAGCTTAATTGGGAAATCAGCTGCTTATTGTACCCCTGTAGGAATATGCAAGTGGATGCAGATGGAGTTGCCAGCCTGGCATCTTGTTTGGGGCAATTTACACAGACTACGTTAAAGCAACAGCTTAATTTTTTAAAATGTAATACTTTTTCTTCTTGTATATTAGTTTTTTTCTTTCTGTACTCACCCATTAACTGCATATTTACTCCTTTGAAGATTTTTTTTAATACAAGTTTAATGTAAAAAGAAAGTGAAATGTGAGGGAGGAACAGCAACACCTGTAAAATCTTTGTAAAGGAAGCCTGGTGATCAAAACTGTTCAGTGGTGCCCTCTAGGATTTTAAAGTGCTAGCGAAAATTAATCCTTAGCCTCAGCATTACCACAAGAGAAAACACCCAACCCACAAACCAGACATACAGTGAACGCAGTACAATAATATCAAGCCCACCATGCTGGTTTATGAAAAAGCCATCTTGCTGTTCAGAGCATCAGCTGCAAGGTCCAAACCAGTTTATTTTATTAAAGGACTTGGATTATTGTGTAAAAAATAATAATAAAATAATACAAAGTAATGTTGTTGGCATACAAGAAGCCTTTTAGTTTATCTTTCCCTTTCTAATTGTTATTTCATTAGTGATTTTCTCAGTCCCATTGCTAACATGTAGCTTCTCTTGGCAGCTTCCTTGAATTCCCTGTCTTGAGCAAATTTTGAGTCATACCAAAGCAGTGCTAGATAGCATCTGTAAATACGCACTATGAATTACAACTGGTTTTCCTTGGTTACCTAAGCAGCATTGTACCCAAACTGTGGAGATGAAAGGTTAGAATAGTAATTCAAGGAGCCCACAGCTGCCCAGGGAAGGAGCCGCTTCTGAGGATCTGAGACAGGCTGAGGTGCAGGCAGGAAGGCCAGGCATGGGGTTGGGCCATGGGTACCCCACCATGCCATGAGCGGGTGCTAGCAGCACAAGTGGGAGCTGGAGCAGGCAGGAGGACGTGGCTGTGTGTGCTGAGTTTGCCCAAGCACCCATGGCAGCGTTCACACCAACCTCAGGCTTAATGCTGACATGGCGTCTGCCAGGACATGAGAGACAACACCTGATCCAGTAGGAAGCTGTGGCTGCATAAAGAGGTGATGCCACATCTAGCATAACATTCCTGTAGGACCAATGCGCATATTCAGGGATGAATACAAATGTATAAATACCTGAAGGCAGAAGGGAATCTGTACCAAAACCATGCTTCACACCCTTCAGCTGCAGTACTACTGATCTGCTACCAAAGACTCCAAGCTCAGATTTACAATCTGGTCTGAGAAACTTAAATTTTTTAGTCTTCTGTGCCAGGGTAGGATTTTCCAAGATACCTGACTAATCCCTGTAACTTTATTCTGAGTGTCATCTCATTTTCCAGTAACTTTTTGGAAGGGTGGGCATCTGGAGCAGATACCGTTGTGACAGTGTTGCTCACATTGACTATAAGCATCAAGCTACTTCCCTGACCCAGAGCTGCTGGTGGTACCCTCAAGGGTGTAACATCGCACACATGCATCGTCTCCTGGCTGATTCTGGGAAAGAACCTCCAACAACAGAAGATTAGGTGCTACCACACACTAAACAGCAGCATCTTTCCAGAACCTCACTTGCCTTGCCTCGCAAGAGAGGAAAAGAGCCATTTCTCTTTTTTTTATGCACATTTTCTGAATCACTGCCATTCTTGCCTGCTTTTTACTCCTTCCTCGTGTACCTCACTTTATCTAGGCTTTCTTTTTCCCTTTTTATACTCCCCTTACTGTGACTGCTCATCCCTTGCCTGTCCTAACAATCCTCATCTGTTGTTTCTGCCTACTGTACTTTTTCCCTCCTCTTACAACTTGCAGTCAGCCAGGTGTGCTGAGGGAGACCAGTGGCATGCAAAGGACAGCAGCCCTTGCTCCCTGCCTGCTTTAGGGCACATTGGACCTGCCAAGAAAACTGCTTGCCCACTGTGGCTGGACCCATGCCGCCCATGCTGTCTAAGCAGCTACATCCCTGCTGCTTCATCGGCAGCCTGCATCTGAGGCTGCCGGTACTCGAAATGGAAATCTCACATACTGGTTTTAACAGTTTGCGCATTCTGACTGCAGTGCTTCAGCACGAAAGGTCCAGGAGCTTACATGAATAAAGAACGAGGCATATTTTTTAGCAGCCATACTGTTACATGCCTTCATACACAGCCAGCAGATTAGTGTCTTCCTGCTTGTATTACTGATCTGTTCTTATTTTGGAATACAACCATAAAGCATGTTGCATTAGCACCTTTTCCTCCATAGCTCTAGCATATGCCTTGTAGCTGAATAGGTTTCTGTCTGGTATAGCTGAAGCTGAATTCCTTCCAGCTTTGCCTCTTAATGCACTTTCTGCAAAATCTGGGATTTTATACCAGTGTTTTTCATTAAACTGAATGTTTTGTTCTGTTAACAGCTGATTTAACTCAAATGGATGATGTATCCCTAATGAGAAATGAAAGCATGCTCGAGAGCAAATGGAAATTCCCAGTCAGTCCAATTAGCGTTGAACTATCTCAGCATGTGGGTGTGCAAAGGGAGCGGTCTGGACATAAATCCAGCTGTTTCTACCTGTTGGGTTTGGTTATCAGGAAGACTTGGATGCAGATTTCAATATTTCAAAGTGGCCTGGTATGAACAATGGGCCCAAACCAGGTGCAGACTGAGGGGCTCATAGAAAGAGCTCCATAAATGATCATCAGAATGCCTACACATAGCGAGGGTAAATATACATATATATAGTATATAAGCTGCTCTGCATCTCACTCGGGAGGCTGCTGGAAGGGGTGGGTGAGCACAGAACTGGGAGGGTGAGCTGCTCTCTCTCTGCAAGACATCTTATCTGCTGCAAAAATGCCTGTTTCTTTTCTTACTTGAATTGGCTTGTAACCTACCTGTCGGCTTCTGGTGAGCTTCATTCCCCTTTTCATTAGGAAACTTTTTAGGTCAAATAATGCTTTATCACACTATGTTTTCTTCCTTCAGTCTCTGCAGTTCCGCATCTTCCCTTTTCATTTGTCACAGGAGATGGCATCTCTTCCCAGCACCCCTTATGCAGCATGCAGACTTTCCACAGTGAGCCTGAAATACTAATTTATTTTGTTTTAAAATACTACTGCCTGCAGTATTTAAAATACTACACTGTTGAAGCTGGGAGAGGTGCCTCAGCTGGACTGCCAATGGCCACCTGCACATAGGTGAGAACTGAGGAAATTCTGATTGAAAGGATTCGAAAAAACACTTATTTGTACAAAAAAAGCAAAGCTCATTGTCTGTGTAAAAATCCTTAAAAATACATAGCAGATAGACTGTTAGCAATGGCTATTTACCCCAGTTTTTTGTTTTCCAGCCTCAGCTTCACGTGGTGAAAATGCCCAGATTTGGCCTCAACTTGTACATAAATCTATTTGGGAAATGTGAGGGTGAGCAGACAGGAATGTAGAAAGTGGCTTTTGTGCAATGAGCAATTTCTGTCACCTTCCTTGAAGAACTTGTGACCCTTAGCATCTGAGATGGAAGGCTGGCAAGGAAATGATGTGCAAGACAAAAATGTCTGTAACAGTAAAGAAAACCAAGAGGAAGTGTAAAACCTTCCAGGAGAGAGGCCCAGTATTCCCTTTTCCCCTTATCAAGGGCTGACAGGGTGGGTTACTGCTCTGCAGTTTTGCACCAGCCCCAAGGATCCCACTGTGGGAGCTGCTTGTCTGCAGCAGGTAATGCCTGTGTCCTGGAAACCTGGGAGAGGGCAAGGGGGGCAGTGGCTAGCATGGGGAGCGGGGACCCCTATGCCAGTGCAGCAGCTCTGGCATGCTGCTCCACCGCAGCGAGCCTGGCACAGCGTGGGACCTGCTCACCTCTGCAAGCCTCCGCTGCTTCTGTTTGCCTTTCCTCAGAAAACAAACCTGGGAAATGTCAGTTCAAGAGCTGATAAGAATAATGAGACATGCCTGTTGCAGATATGACATGCACTGCAGGCTGAAAGCAAGTCTTAACTGAGTTCCCAGCCTGCTCACAAAAACTGACAGCAGAATACGTGCCCAAAGCTCTGCGGGTGCTTCTGCCAGCAAAGTCTTTTTTTCACCACTGCTTTGCCCTCCTGTGCTGCTGTCCCTGCAGGGTGGAAGTTGCTGTCCTTACTTGGAGACCATCAACTTACTATTTAGGGGGTGACAGAATCCTGCTGTGCTACATCCCTCAAGGAGATACCTCTGATGCCTACTGCTAAAGCACAGGAAGCGGCTCTCTCCCCCACCCCAGTGAGAGAGGATCGTGCGCCTGTGTGCATTTTTAATGTCTGAGCTGACATTTTGCTGTCTTGAAAACAAAAGCTGTTCATGGGCTAATTAAATAGATCTGCACACAGCATAACGTAAGCCCCAAGGAACGACAGAGTCCCTACAGGGTGTGAACTTTGGAAGACAGAATGACAGAGTATTGTGCATACAAAAGATTATAATTTTATAATCAATAGTAGATAATGTGGTGAGCACCTAGCATGGAATTCAGAGTGCTTGGTCTGTAAGGCCTGGTAAGTATCCAATATGATTGTCACATAGTCACATGGGGATGAGTACTATACATTTTTTTCCTACCTCTTTGCTTTTCTTAATATTATAAGCCAACAAGAATACCACTGTTTCAGAGTGCCTTCTGTATATCAGAGTATGCAACTAATTTGTGATGAGCACTGCCACTGTGATGCCC